GACTGAAAAATAATTCGCATATGTGACTTTTTGCGATCGAAAAATGCAAGAATGAAAAAGTTCCGCGGTATAACTTCTGATTTTGAAGACATAATTTTTTGAAAGAGAAACGATAAAGTTGCAAAATTTAGGGAATTCCAGGTAGTAGAGAGTTTAAACCTTCATATTCTCTTTCGAACGATTTTCTTTGATTTGAGAATGACGGTTAACTCGTTGAAATAGAAGCATACGTACTTCGATTAAAAAAAAAAAAACTGCTGAAGTGATTGTGGCGAGCACAGAAGTGATACGAAGGAAATGAGTCCAGTAATCTGAGCATCAGATTATTCAAACTACAAGAAAAAAAAATTTTGTTTTGTTTTTCAAGGTCTACAGCAGTGTTTCCCAACCTTTTTCCGCTTGCGGACCAGCAAATGTTCATAAAATATTCTGCGGACCGGCAACGTCCCGGACAATTTTTGACAACCAGAAGAAAATTTTTAAATACCTTCCATACTCTGTCCTCAGAACAAAACTTTTATTGCAAAAATTAGGTCAAGGACTATGAAACAGCAATCTAGAGGAATGTCTTTAACAAATTGAAAGTTAAGCCTCAAGAAAAGTTTCTCAGATCAAAAACTTCAAATAATAAATTTCAGCATGCGAAAATATGTCTGAAGTGCAATTAGGAAAAAACCCTATTTTTCATCAGCCAATTTAAAAAGTCATTGTACAATGTTGTATTTCAAAATTTTTGATTGCAATAACAGACTTCATCACTAATTTTAATAAATTCAATGTGTGGAAACGTTTTTGACAGTCTGCGGGAAATTTTCAGCATAATACATGTATCTAAAGTAGGGATGAATTTCTGTTATCTTTACCTAACATTTTGGAAGGACAAAATGGCAGTTGAAACTATCTGATGAAAAAAAAAATTGGCTTTTCTCTTAAAGCCTCAGACAAAGTTTCACCTGCTGAAATAAATACAGGGAATTTTAATTTTGTTTCATACTGAGGAACCTTTCTTCAAGCCCACCTTTCTAATTTTTTTGTATGACATTTAGCTTGAGCTCCTTCACTGTTGCTCAACTCAATTTTTGCAACCATCAGAAACTTTTGAATACATTGCATAAAGTTTTTCATTCAAACTTTTGTGAGTCTGCAAAATTTTATGAAACTTGGCCGGTCTGCAGACATTTTGTTGGGAATTTGCCTGTCCACGAACATTTTTATGTCACTTTTCCGCGAGTCCAAAGAGGTTGGGAAACACTGGTCTAAAGCATACCACGTGATACCGAAATAACCTTGGGTCCCATTTCCCTTTATTAAATTTTTAGCTCAGGAACAGCCAGCCAAAGAGAAGCCCGTGTATGATGAAACGAATGACGTAACTCGACAAACCATTTCTTAGTTGCACCTTAGACCACTTCACACCTGACTAAGTCTGCTGGTGCTGAACCAGGCTGTTTACCACGTTGTGCACGGACCCTTTGTCAAACCCCAGGAGTACAGAGGGTTAGTAGGAGTTTTAAACCCAACGGGCGTCGATTTTGACTATGACATCGTGGCGCCTGAGGGCTCCAAGGTGGCGCTTAGACTCCTGAGGCTCGAGCTCGAATCTTGCTGTGACTACATAAACATTAGCAACGGCGATGGGACCACTAGGTAAGTGGTACTTATTTATTCATTCATTAATTTATCCATCACGACTGTATTAAAAAAAATAAAACTATTCCCCATATGTAGTCAACAAAGGCGACAAGATTCTACGGAATAATAAGTTGAATCAGAATGCTCGTGAATAAAAATATACAGCTTGGGAAATCCCTGAAACGGGTTCTTTGTTATCATGCAAATTTAGTGTGAGTCATGAAAGGAGGGGAATGCGAATTTTCCTGCCTGAAATGAGTGACAAAATCGCCGTAGAAAATCTTGCTACCAGCAAAATGTTCGGAGTGTGTTTATTGAAGCTTTCTCTTATGTTCTTGTGTGATTGACATTTTCCACCAGCTTTGGTGAAAGTAAAAGACCACAGAAAAGTATTTTTCAGCTGCTTGAAGTGTGATGATTATTTTTTCATCTCTATTTCACGGTTAGTCAAGAGTAAAATGAAGAGTATCGGTATGTTTGATACATTCAGGCGTAAATTGAAATGGTTTTACGACCTATGGATGTATCAAAAAATTGAGTTTATATTGAGCTCTTTCAAGCAAAGGCTTACTCAAATTCTCAACAACAAAAAAACAATTTGAAGGTTATTTGTCCATTCAAGCAGACCTAATTTTTTTTAAAATCCTGATGTGTTTCTTGGATTCGAATATTTCAAGATTTGATTTAAGATTTCTTATGCTTTGTTTTTTTTTCCCGTCTCCTTCAACAGTTTTATCTCTAGTATGGATCCCAGCATCATTTATGCCACAGGGAATGAAGTGACGTTGAGCTTCCGAAGTGACTCCTCCGTTTCTCGACGGGGATTCATGTTGGCATATTCTTCGATTTCACCTTGAAGAAATGCATTTCCGCGTTTCATGTCCATTTGATAATAATTGCATTTTCCCATGTGTCCCAGTCTCTGTTTTCAAATTATCTGGAACTAGACGTTGTTGCGGATTTTTCGCGGATGGAAAACAAATGACGAGTTTATTGTGGATCGAGTCAGATGGTGTTTTTGTGTGCTTCGGATTGTGAAAGATTGGCATTAACTAAAAACAACTTCAGTTTGAACAAAAGCTGAAATGTCATTCTTATTTCTGGATTTAACTTTATTAGCCATTTTGTAATTTTAGCATATTTTTTTCTCAGGTGGCCAAGAAAGCTTTGGGAATATCTTTCATTTGTCATTTTTTCAATAAAGAATGTAACTAACCTCAATCACCAGGAATACATACACTAAGAAACCCTGATCTATAAATGCTGTAAGTGCTGGTGACTGTGGCAGCAAACACATGTTTCCTGGGGGGATGTTAGAAATAAATTTCGGTGCTTCCAGGTTTGTGTGCTTGTGCCTTTTCTTTCTCCTTCTTTCATGTTTTTTAGTACATGTTTGGAAAGAAAGAAATGAGGTTGGGATCCTGCATGAGGACAGGAGCTAGCTTAGGTACTTCAATTTATGGAAAATTCCAAGCCAAATAAGATATGAAAAATGGGAAGCTTGCACAGGCATAATGTAAGTTTTATTTTATTTTTTTATGGGAACCTGAGAAAAAAGAGGAGACAAATGTGTGCAGCAATTTTTGCAATAAAATTTTTTGCAGCTCCCAAGAGACAATAATTTTTGCTGCTGTAAAAGAGGAGTGCATCTGAAGACCACCGTTTAAGCCCATTAACTGAAATAAATAACATGGACAATCAACCAGTTTGAGGCTGGGAAATTGTATTAAATGGGGCACCTTGAAAACAAAACAAAATTAACTTGCAAAAGACCACTTCAAAAGTGGAAGAATGAATTTGTGCCCAAATCTGAAAGAAGGAAATGAAAAGTAGAGAGGGAAAATAGGCATTAAAAAAACAGTTTTGATAATCTGATGAAGCTTTGATTTGCTCAGTGAGCAAATAAGAGGGAAGCACTTGACTACATTTTCCCCCAGCATTCTTGCTGAACAACATCCAGGAAATTGAATTCGTAAAGAATGAATAATGGGAATTCAATAAAATCATTGCTCTGCTGTTTGTATTGCAATAATTTTGTTCATATTTCTAAGGTGAATACAAATCAGGACAACAAGTCATGGCCATCGTTGACCTTCACTGTAGATTCATTGAAACTGTACCCCACGATTGCACGGTCAATTTAATACTGTATAGGAAAGGCAGTCCTATCAAGAAATTTAATGTGACCTATTGAGGACAAATGTCTTCAATATAATTTGATGTTGAGTGAATATTGATCAAATTAAACACAACAATCAGTCTGGGACAGGACCAGGATTCCGTTTTGGAATTCCTAGTTTAAGGGGTAAAGTATATTTTGGAATAAGCAAATAAGCAAAAACTCAATCAAACTCAACTTGAATAATTGGAATAACACAGCTGAACTGAACTGACTCCAATGATAATATGGAGAAGGAGCAACTTATATACTACTAATAATATGTAACCTTCACAAGGGTTTACTATTACAATTAGAGCAAGAAAGAAAACGTCAAGGATGCTGCAGTGCCAGGATGTTCCTTGAACTGCAATTTTGAGGAGGGGGAATACTTGTGCTTCTAAGAATTAGGTACGCTACTTTACCCAGCGTGCATGCCCAACATGACCTGCTGCAATGGCCTCTTGGAATAATGGATTAACAAATGGTTAGTACCCATCCGGACCTTATTTATCCCATTTCAAAGAATATTTTCTATTTAAACAAATACTGCTTTCTTTCCTTTGACGGCTTTGTTTGATTTAGAGATGTTGAAAATTTTCATAGGATGGCACAGAAACTTGCTGAAATATCAAAGGCAATAGTTTGAAGATTGATTTATATACTCTTCATGCTTTGCAATGCATTATCTGAAGGTGATGGGCATAAAATGTATATCCATATCATCAAATTTACAACTTATGGCAGCAAATTTTACAGTTTATATGGAACATTTTGTTTAACAAGATCTTGTGATTATTACAAGAACGAAGACGAGGACAGAAACTTCCGCATTATTTAAGCGATTTTTCTACGCAATTTTGACATTGATCAGCTTCCCTACATTGCTACCACACTGCACAGGAAAATATCCAAAATTTTATTTTATGAATATTTAGCTGCTTTTTCCTTTTGTTAGTCAGTCTGAAGCAATGAATGCCAGTAGTTGAAAACATTTTCAAAAAATTTCTTTCCGAAATCGTCTGCCTTCAATTTTTTGTGCTTCTCATTGTGCTTTCAATTTGGCAGCTCTGCAAAATAAATTAGACTATTGAAACAGTGGCATTATTGCATTTGTTCAAAATAAATTCATTTATTTTTCATCGTCGACACTAGTTAGTTCTTTTTTTTATGTAACTTGGTCGTTAAAACTTATAGTCAGTTAACAGGGTTGAAGACGACTTTTTTTTCATTTTCATCGCGTGCTGTAGAGTCGGTTATATTGAAACGTAAATCTGTCAACTTTTTCTAAATCAAACAATGTTAAATACATAATGAGGCGTACAAAATGTTTAATTCACGGAGAAAGAGCAGAATATGCAATTAGGAATCCCCGTCCATTGCCGCCAACACTGTGGAAAACAAGACTCACTTCATTTCCACTGCTGTACTTGATCTGGGGTTCTGGACTGCGAATATAGCTGTTGAAAGAAAAATGTTGAATAAATATGAGAAATGTTCCCAGTACTGTGTGTACTGTATTCAGGTGTATATAGAAATTGCAGTGGCATACTATTCATGATTCTGAGTCACACAATATTTTTTATTTGCTTGATAATTGCACAGAATCAGACTTTGAAAAACTCATCCATCTCCAATTATGAATCATGATTGCTTAGCATATTGAATTCAAATCCGATGTGACCATTCTATGAATCTTTTGTACAATGGCTTTTTTTTTAATAATACAAGTATACTGAGAATTTAATCGCAATCTCTCTGAATTCAAAGTTGAGACAGCACCAAATTCACAAAATTTTGTTCAAGCTTTCATTTCACGAAGGAAATCTTGTTCGGAAATAAATTTTGGTAAACAAAAGAATATAAGGGTTGGTTTATAAAATATGATAAACAGCCACTTGCAGTCATACCAGAGGCAGATGCAAATTTTTTTTTTGGTCTTCAATCCTTCATTGGTGTCAAATAAATTTTTCATCCACTACCCAGCTTCAGAAGTGCCCTTAATTTGAATATATCATTTCCTCAATTCATGTTTTATTGATTTTATTGTCCTTTTTGTAAGATTTCCGTGACACTATATTTATGAAGAACTTTATCCTTATTTTCCCGCTTTTCGCAAGAAACTTTGGGTCTAATATTCAAGGCAATGCAGAATTTGTGGAGAATTCTTTGAAAATTTGAATCCTCGCACAACCGTGTAGAAATGAAGAAAATTTGATTTCAACTTACTATGCATTAGAAGTGTCTTCTACTATGGCCACGTAGTCGCAGCACACTTCAAACTCGGCTCTCAAAACCCGAATGGCGATTCGAGACCCAGTCGGGGCCACGAGTTGGTATTCGAAATCTGTTTCAGGTGGGTAATTTTGGGGATGATTGGGTGACATGACGAGACCGAATTGTTTTCCAGGCACGTGTTGCACCATTTGTCTGACCATGTCGTGGTTGTCAGAATCAGTCCATGTTTCTCCAGTTGCCACATTGATCCTGATGACTTGCTTATTATTCCCGGGTTTCGTGTTTGAAGAAGGGTTCATTTTTGCTGGACTTCCAGGAGCTGAAATGCGGGTGGAAATTTCGTTGAAAATGAATCNGTTGAAGTTGTCCAGCATAAGCTGCCAAATAGCCAAGTTTGGAATCAGCAGCATTACTTTGCAAATATACACGCGTTTCATTGGCGACAATCAAGTCCGGAAGGAACAAGTCGTAAGAACCTGTGAGTCTAAAAAAATTTCAAGCTTCGTTTAAAAAAAAAAAGGCTCTCAGCAATTGAAATCTTCAAGTACTTACTGTTCTGTACTTTCTGATGGAGGATCATCACGTTTTTCCGTGATGCTCAAATAATCCCCTTGGGCCAACCTAAGCTGAAGAAATCCCAGACTGACCGAATTTATCGCATCACTCGTGACTGACAATTGGGCACCGCAGTCTTGAGGCGAAATTATGGAATTCGGGTAATTTCCTGGGTACCCGGGACTCGATATAAACCCGAAATCACTTTCCGAACCCAATTCGATCACGTCTTTGAAAACAAAAAAAAAGCGAACCACGAAATAGGTTTGAAGGATTTTCGGGTAATTAATTAATTGCCAACTCACCAATTCCTCCGCAAATCTGTTTCGATGAGGGACTGTTCGTTGCTGGCTGATCGACTTTTTTCTATTTAACGACACACATGTTCAGCAAAATTTCAAATTTCACAATATTTATAATCAACAAAAATACTCACGAGGAATGGCGATGAAACGGCTGCTGACGCACAGAAAGCGGCAACCGCGAATAATTTAAGATACATTGTTGGGATAAATTGACAAAAAACACTTTTATCTGGAAATCAGAAAGCGGCATGAACGCTAAGCAATAAAAAACGGAGGAATAATTAAATATTTAAATATTGAAACTCTACAACTTTTTCTCTTATCAACCACTTTTGAAGACTGTTTTCAAATTGGCTGGGAAATTTGGGCAGGATTAATGTTTTCATTTTACGTTTGGTAATCGATGGCTTTATATGCATCCTTGTCCTCTGCAATTTTGCAAACGTAATTTTTAAATACACGACCGTAGCCTGGCATCTGATTCAGCAGAATTTTATTTGAAGGAACATTTGGTCTAACTTTTAATTTTCCCACCATATCATCATAAGAGCTCATTTTCGAAGAAAGAAAAAACCCAGTCACTCCAGAGCGAACGTTTTTTAATTACTGTATCATTATTTTAAACTCTGCTTTCGCCTTAGGATAAACGTAAAATAATGGTTATAAAATTTGAGAGAATGCGGGTTGAAGAAATAATACTATAATTGCAGCATTCAAAGATCGCAACTGCAAAAACCTGTCTGATAATCCTCTGTAATTTAGTCATTTTGCTCACTGGATGATTGGAATTCATCTGAAACGTCCTTCACATTGGGCATTGCTCATGTGGAAATTTTCTGTGTTTTTGAATTTGTTTTTTTCATCTGTAGAAAGTTGCATGACCTGGAGCTTCATCACCAAGATGCTTTCTTATTCTCCAGAAACACTATCCATTGAATTCAGACCATGTAACCCCCGAAGTTGTGGGGCATGCAAATGCACACTCAGCTGCTTTTGATCAATTAAATTTGACTTCAGATCACTTCAGTAGAAGGCATTCACTGTGATCCAGGTCTTTTTCTTGTTTCCTTCTTTAGCTGAGTAGTGGACAATCAAGAAAAAAAATACATTGAACCAGCAATTTTGAATATCAGTCAATTGTCCCAACTTCTGCTGAAAAAAAAGTAAAAGTAGCGCACGACATCTCAGCCAATATAACTTTGCATTTAGACAGTTATTTTTCTAAATCAAACAATGTTAAATACATAATGAGGCGTGCAAATGTTGAATTCATGGAGAAAGAGCAGAATATGCAATTAGGAATCCCCGTCCATTGCCGCCAACACTGTGGAAAACAAGACTCACTTCATTCCCACTGCTGTACTTGATCTGGGGTTCTGGACTGCGAATATAGCTGTTGAAAGAAAAATGTAGAATAAATATGAGAAATGTTCCCAGTACTGTTTGTACTGTATTCAGGTGTATATAGAAAATGCAGTGGCATACTATTCATGATTCTGAGTCACACAATATTTTTTATTTGCTTGATAATTGCACAGTATCAGACTTTTAAAAAACTCGTCCATCTCAAATTATAAATCATGATTGGTTAGCATTTTGAATTCAAATCAGATGTGACCATTCTATGAATCTTTTGCACAATGGCTTTTTTTTTAAATAATACAAGTATACTGAGAATTTAATCGCAATCTCTCTGAATTCAAAGTTGAGACACCTCCAAATTAACAAATTTTGTTCAAGCTTTCATTTCACAAAGAAAATCTTGTCCAGAAATAAATTTTGGTGAACAAAAAAATACAAGGGTTGGTTTGTAAAAGATGATAAACAGCCACTTGCAGTCATACCAGAGGCAGATGCAATTTTTTTTTTTGGTCTTCAATCCTTCATTGGTGTCAAATAAATTTTTCATCCACTACCCAGCTTCAGAAGTGCCCTTAATTTGAATATATCATTTCCTCAATTCATGTTTTATTGATTTTATTGTCCTTTTTTGTAAGATTTCCGTGACACTATATTTATGCAGAACTTCATCCTTCTCCCGCTTTTCGCAAGAAACTTTGCGTCTAATATTCAAGGCAAGGCAGAATTCGTGGACTATCCGCGTATTCTTTGAAAATTTGAATCCTCGCACAACCGTGTAGAAATGAAGAAAATTTGATTTCAACTTACTATGCATTAGAAGTGTCTTCTACTATGGCCACGTAGTCGCAGCACACTTCAAACTCGGCTCTCAAAACCCGGATGGCGATTCGAGACCCAGTCGGGGCCACGAGTTGGTATTCGAAATCTGTTTCAGGTGGGTAATTTTGGGGATGATTGGGTGACATGACGAGACCGAATTGTTTTCCAGGCACGTGTTGCACCATTTGTCTGACCATGTCGTGGTTGTCAGAATCAGTCCATGTTTCTCCAGTTGCCACATTGATCCTGATGACTTGCTTATTATTCGCGGGTTTCGTGTTTGAAGAAGGGTTCGTTTTTGCTGGACTTCCAGGAGCTGAAATGCGGGTGGAAATTTCGTTGAAAATGAATCACTGACTATATGCAGTTGAACCTCGCCAATTCGAAAGCTTTTAAAAATCTCCGTAGTGCAAATTTCCCGTTAATCCCTGTCCAATTCCCCAAAAATCGAATGGTATTCAAACCTCTGTGACTCAGCGCTTTTTCAGTCGAAAATTTAAGGTATCTTTGTTAATAAATTGGAGCTGAATTTTATAAAACACATGCCAGAAAAACCAAACGAACAGATTCGAAATACTCTACTTTCATTATTCTCTCCTCAAGGGATTCGGCATCTTTCTTACAATTATGAAATCTACGTATATAAAAAAATGTACAATAATTCTGACCCGAAGTTATTTCCACCGATGACGAAATGAAATCGAATCCATCAAAATTTTTCACAAAAATGTTGTCCAACAAAATTTCTTGAGAGGCAACACGATTGATTATTCATCCCCGAAAGATAAATTTTCAACCATTCAACAAATTTTTTTGAATCTCGTACGAATTGTTGCAATTCAATTTTTTTAGATCGATAAAATGGAGCATCTTTTTTATTTCGCTTGAACACACCGGCCTATATTTTCAAAATAAAATTTGCAGTGAAAATTGCATGTGGTCCATGACTTTCTCTCCAAGATATGAAGTATGACGTGTAGATTTGGACGAAAAATTGAATTTTAGATAAAGTACAATTTACATTATAAATAAGAATTTGAAAAAAGGCTGGCACTCACTAGGTGGTAGTGGTTGAAGTTGTCCAGCATAAGCTGCCAAATAGCCAAGTTTGGAATCAGCAGCATTACTTTGCAAATATACACGCGTTTCATTGGCGACAATCAAGTCCGGAAGGAACAAGTCGTAAGAACCTGTGAGTCTAAAAAAATTTCAAGCTTCGTTTAAAAAAAAAAAGGCTCTCAGCAATTGAAATCTTCAAGTACTTACTGTTCTGTACTTTCTGATGGAGGATCATCACGTTTTTCCGTGATGCTCAAATAATCCCCTTGGGCCAACCTAAGCTGAAGAAATCCCAGACTGACCGAATTTATCGCATCACTCGTGACTGACAATTGGGCACCGCAGTCTTGAGGCGAAATTATGGAATTCGGGTAATTTCCTGGGTACCCGGGACTCGATATAAACCCGAAATCACTTTCCGAACCCAATTCGATCACGTCTTTGAAAACAAAAAAAAAGCGAACCACGAAATAGGTTTGAAGGATTTTCGGGTAATTAATTAATTGCCAACTCACCAATTCCTCCGCAAATCTGTTTCGATGAGGGACTGTTCGTTGCTGGCTGATCGAATTTTTTCTGTTCAACGACACACATGTTCAGCAAAATTTCAAATTTCCCAATTTATATAATCAACAAAAATACTCACGAGGAATGGTGATGAAACGGTTGCTGACACACAGAAAGCGGCAACCACGAATAATTTAAGATACATTGTTGGGATAAATTGACAAAAAACTCGTTTATCTGAAAAACAGAAAGAGGCTTGAACGCTAAGCAATAAAAAAACGGAGGAATAATTAAATATTTAAATATTGAAACTCTACAATTTTTTTCACTTATCAACCACTTTTGAAGACTGTTTTCAAATTGGCTGGGAAATTTGGGGAGGATTAATGTTTTCATTTTACGTTTGGTAATCGATGGCTTTATATGCATCCTTGTCCTCTGAAATTTTGCAAACGTAATTTTTAAATAATACACGACCGTAGCCTAACGTCTGATTCAGCAGAATTTTACTTGAAGGAACATTTGGTCTAACTTTTAATTTTCCCACCATATCATCATAAGAGCTCATTTTCGAAGAAAGAAAAAACCCAGTCACTCAAGAGCGAACGTTTTTTAATTACTGTATCATTATTTTAAACTCTGCTTTCGCCTTAGGATAAACGTAAAATAATGGTTATAAAATTCGAGAGAATGCGGGTTGAAGAAATAATACTGTAATTGCAGCATTCAAAGACCGCAACTGCGAAAACCTGTCTGATAATCCTCTGTAATTTAGTTATTTTGCTCACTGGATGATTGGAATTCATCTGAAACGTCCTTCACATTGGGCATTGCTCATGTGGAAATTTTCTGTTTTTGAATTTGTTTTTTTCATCTGTAGAAAGTTGCATGACCTGGAGCTTCATCACCAAGATGCTTTCTTATTCTCCAGAAACACTATCCATTGAATTCAGACCATGTAACCCCCAAATTTGTGGGGCATGCAAATGCACACTCAGCTGCTTTTGATCAATTAAATTTGACTTCAGATCACTTCAGTAGAAGGCATTCACTGTGATCCAGGTCTTTTTCTTGTTTCCTTCTTTAGCTGAGTAGTGGACAAAATATTTATTGGACACCAATGAAGGTGTTGCGAGTATCAACAGTAGAGTACAATTTTTCACGCAAAATAACTAACCCAAGAATCCAAATTCTCATAAAACTTGTCTTCATACATCTTTGTGTTAGCCGGGAGAAATTCCGGTTCACACACCCATTTTTTCACCCAAAACTTCCAAGGTTCTTTTCATTGCCAAATTTCTGCAAATCCTAGAAACTGTTATTTATTCTTGAAGGATAGTTTTCCTGCTTTCCTATCTTATCTAAAAAAAACTTCACTTCTCCCTGAGCTCTTGTATGCAACACTTGAGCAATTTTGCAAATATTGTGTGTGTACAAATTACAACCTTAAAATAGGGTGAAATATCAGCCCAGTTGCAGCCCAAATGAATTCTTTGTTACATTTATTTTTAAACTCATTCAAGTTTATTTCTTTTCAAAATCATTCCTGACAGAAGGGTTGAAGAGCAAAAGAAAAAATTACATCTGCCTCTGATGACAGAAAGGCACTGTTTATCACCTTTTCTGAACCAACCCTTGTATATGATTTCTGTGAAGTTAAAATGCACAGTAGATACTTGGAAAAATGGAATTTTTTTGCAAAGCAAGGAAACAAAGCAACCAGCTGGGTTGACAACCTGTCTTTGTGCATTGAAGACTGAATTTGTGTTCATAGATTTAATTTTTAAGCCCAGCAAAGAAAAAGTGTCCACAGATTCCCTACAGGACTGAAGATTTCCCTGGAAGAACTAACAAGATGAACATTTGCTTATAACAAACTAAGATTTTTTCCCGCACCAATCCCAAAATTCTTTTTGAATTTTCATATAAATCATTTGGATCAGGATTGGCGTTTGACAATGCTTGTCCTTTCTTGGCGATGTGTCTGGTTTCAATTTCAATTTCCATATTCTAACCTTTTGCTGTGTCTTTTGTTCCCCCACCTGTTTTTTATATACTGATTTAAGAGAATTCTTGCATTTCATGCTTCATTGTTTCTTTTGTTTTCAGTGAAATGATTTAGTGTGGAAACAATTTCGAACATCAGATATACATTTGTCATATTTTCTCTATATCCGGGTTTTCTCCCGATTTTTCCTGGAATTATTGGCCGATAGGTTGTATAGTTATTTTGAAAATCGCCCTCAGAAATCAGAACTTCTAGAAAATATGAGCAGCAACACATTTAGCTATACAACCCTTATTTTTCTGTATTTGTGTTATTACTTCAATAGAAATGTCAACAAATGCATACCGATTTAGAGATTTTTCTAATCCTTGTAAAAAAATATATATTTTTAAACTATTTTTTCTCGATGTGGACTGAAATTGGCGAGTACACTCTGAATAAAAATTCTCCATTGAAAATTTAAAAACGTGGACAAATCGTGAAAAGATGTTTTATTCGCGTTCAGAAAAAGACAATCATCACATTGAAAAGAAAGAAAGAAATTGCAGAAACATTTTTACGGAATCACTACGAGCTCAAGAGAGTCTTGACTTAACTACGTATTCGTTAGTTTTTTGGTGACATCCGAGACGATATCAGTGAGACCTTTAAGTCGCACTGAAGTAAACTCAACGACATATAATAAAAGCTGGCGTTCGGGCTAAGAGTCCTGAAAAAAAACATTTAAAAAATGAAAATTACTCTCTTCTCCAAATTCACGAGAAATTTGAAATAGGATACACTTACAAAAGCGTGCTTTCGTTTTCTGAAATGGTGACGACGTCGAAAGAAGGCTCGAGCCTGGCTCGAAGAACCCTCAGTGCGAATTTCGATCCAACAGGACCCGACAAGTTGTACACAATGTTTTGATTGTGTGGGTAAGCGAGTGGATGGTTTGGCGATGAAATGAAACCGTGGGTTTTTGAGGCACCCGGTTGAACCTTGGTGTGTAACTCGTTCACGTCGCCAGAGGTCGTGATTTCTCCAGTTTCCGTGTTGATGTTGATCACTTCAGTGAAACTCGTTTCGTAAATGCCAGGACCGCTTTTGTTTTCCACCTCAATTTCTCCATCTGTGAAAAATAAAATATCCAAATTTAATTGAGTTCAAAACAAATTCCTCGGTAAAATGGCACCCTTCTATTTCAAAGAAAAAATTCAGGAAATGAAGCAGTTTCTAGTCATAAGACAGTCATCAATTGATTGACAAAAAAATTTAATGCTGATGCTTTTGAATTTGTATGAATACCGAATTTCATGCGTATATGCAGGATTTCAAATGGTACAATATCGTAAAACGGCGAAGGAATTTTGCTGTTGTTTTTAAATTGCTTGAATTTGATTTGGATGAGGATTTTCTTGCCATCTCCAAACTCCCTGTGACCGCGTTAATATTTTCAGGAAATGCATTTTTCAAAAAATGGAAATCATTTCAACTGCTATTTATTTTTGTTTTCTGAATTATTGATGTGCCACAGGATCTCGTAAATTAACAAAAAAACTCTTGATCAAAAGTTGTTTTTATGAAGAAGTTATTTCAAATTTCCCGGCCTGCAGTTGAGCCTGAAAAAATGTTTCGAGCCTCATTATATACGAAACAGTATTTGGTAACCGTGTTTTCCCTCGCTTGAAGTATCTTTCGTTTGTGTTTCACTTTGACTTGATCCTGCTCATTTTCGATTATCGAAAAACGTGTTCATCAAAACATTCAAGACCGCAAAATTTCCACAGAGCTTTTTCCCATTTTCCTGAAAATTTCGCCGGAAAATACCTACCAAAGATGCATCTGCATATTGGAAATTTAGTGACGAACTTATGTTTATTTTCAAATTTTCCCAAGTTTAAGAAAATGAAGAAGTTTCTTGCTGTAAAACGGGCATAATTTTCGACACAATTCTGATGTAATTGCAAGCTTATATGAATGAAAAAAATTTGATGGCAACTCAAGAGTTCACTTGGTGAACTGAAAATACGTCTGCTTTTTGGAAATTTAGCAACACTCGTATATTTTCTAACGAAATTCGCAGTGTTTGCATAATAATTGCGGCATAAATTCACTCACGGAACCATTCGTAAGGCAATTCACTTGCATACGCTGCCAAATAACCTCTGTCTCCTCCTGTCTCGTCACTTTGCAGAAAAACCGTGGCATCATTTGCAGCTATAAGTTCTGGCAAGAACAGGTCAAACGTTCCCGTGTACCTTTCCAGAGATCGTAATTTATAATCAAATCAAACCATAAATTGATGATTTTTTTCTTTGCCAAATGACAATACTCACTGTTCGAACCATTCCTGGGCGGGTTCGTTGTCACGGAGTTCAACTTGAACATAGTCTCCTGAAATTGTTCTTAGTTGTAGAAACCCTAGTCTCAGGGAATCGATTTCAGTGCCTCTGACAACTAGGTCATATCCACAGTCTCCAGGCTGCACAGAGTTGGGGTATTTATTTGGGTACCCCGGACTGGATATGAATCCGTGGTCAGAAGTGGTAGTCAGCACGATTTCCTCTGAATAAATATATTCAGGTATTATAAATATATAAATATGTTCCGATTTTTTTTCTTTTATGGTCCAAAAGTGTGCTTAAAGTATTTTTGATCCACTACGAAAATGTTGCTGCTTGATCCCTGAAAGAAAATTTTAATGAAGAAATTATTCATTATATATATACAAAAAACAATCGGAAATCCTAGAAAATGCCATAAATATACATTGATGATTTGAATTTATGTTTGCCAATTAGGCTGTGCAGTATGCGGGGTTTTGCGACAGCTATTATTATTTTTTTTACAAAATTTGAAAACCTCTCAATAAGCTGGCAGTGTTTGAATGGAAGTTGCATATACAATATATGTATACATGCTGTAGTTGAACATCACAGTTATAAAGCAACCCAATAAGGATATGTTTTATGAGATGTGGGTGAGTTCTCTCAAAATAATATTGAATGACAACAATTTTAATTTCAAATGTTGAAAAAAAATTCAGGGAAAGCATAACTTTTACTGCTGCTCATACCAATTCCATAATTTAAAGGTAAATTCTGGAGGAACATTGTGCTTATTATTATTGCTGCATCAGTTGAATGTTTTTCAACAAAACTCGTCATGTGTAGGACATGCAGAAAAATAAAAGAATACCCAGCACCAACCCTGTGCACAAATTTGTGACAACAACAAATGTGTATTATTGCTGCCAACTCAGCATGCATTCCTGAAATTCCCATCAAATTTCTGCCAAAAAATGTTTTTGATTCCAAAATTACCCTCCGCTCAACATCTGGTTTCTGTAGTGTAGTGGTTATCACGTGCGCCTCACACGCGCAAGGTCCCCGGTTCGACCCCGGGCAGAAACAGTTTTTTTTCCTATTTAAAAACAAAGCGACTAACATTGGATGCTATGTTCTGGAGTTGGTATCCGTGAAATGCATCGCCTTATCATTTTTGTACTTGAAAAAAAAAAAATCGCTCAGAAGGTGGAATCGAATCACTGGCTTTCGTCACCTGCAGGTTTGAAGCCTGCACTCCGGAGTCCGGACCACCGAAGTTCATCATCTGAGCTGATCTAGGGGTCTCACTGTAATTGCTTCAACAAATGAATGGACCGTTACGAAAATTTTCGAAGTGGCCAATATTGAGTGTCTCAGAAAACTGCGAATGCCGTACATTCAAATTTAGGTTCAAAAACCTCGTTGAAAATAATAAATAGTGTTCGTTTGAACTTCTCATCGGCCATCAAAGGTTCAAGGCTCACGTGACCCTTTGAAACCCGTGATGCTTCGAAAGTCCAGGGAAACATTTATTTAACCATTTCATGAAGGAAAAAAATTAGCACGTATTTTAATTTTTTTTTAAATCTGAACCGTAACCAAAACCCTGTTCGAAAAATGTTAGGAGTTCCAATAGCTCGTGATTATATCCTTCCGATAAAGAAACCACTCTTACCTTTGCCACCACAAACTTCTCTGCTCTCTGCTGTTTTCAAGGGACTCTGAAAGAAATCACCCAAATTAAACATCTGTCAAAACTTTCACTCATAAAATATATTTTACGAAAATATAAACAAAAATCGTTATACAGGAAAATCGGCGTATATGAGCTTCGTAATCAAGTTCTTTTTCCACTGTTTTTTTTAGCCTAATTTTCTCACCTGATTTAAACTCTGAAAAACATTCCCTCACCTCATTTGGCAAAGACGTGACAACAGCAGATCCGAAATAGAAGATAATTGCTAGGTACTTCATTGTTATAGTGTCAGATAAACAGAAATGCTTTCTCCGAATGAATTTTTAAGCTTCGAAACAAATACTTTTTCCCAAAGCTTCTTCACCGTTAAATATACTTTGGATCGCTTTTGTTCTTGCCAATAACTCCAAATGACTAAAACCTGGAAATTTTTTTTTCATAAATGCCGTAGTGTGGAAAATGTTGCTGATAAACTTGGGTTACGAAGATAATTTTCCTAATTCTCCGGATTGTTGCTAAAATCGTGACCGAGCATTTTTCTTAATTTCTTGCCTTATATTGCAAAAATTGTAAATGACGCTGTCGACCTCGTATTTTTTGCCGGCAAACACTTCGCGGTTTTTTTTTGTTTGGATAAATTACAAATTAAAATCCCAAAAGGTATCGGGTGCCTTCCCACCAATTTGATTGACAAAAAATCCTTTATATTAAACAAATAAACGGTTCATAATTTTCCAAGTTCTTTTATTTGTACTTCATGTTTCGTCGCTCTCTATAAGAAGAAAGTATGCATGATGTTAAAGAAGAAAAAATTGACGAGAATAAATTTTTCTATCCATCAGCAGCACGGAAATCCAAAATTTTGTGTACCAACCTCAGATGTTGTGTACGTTCAAGTTTTTCAGTGCTTCAAGTCACTGTTCCAATCAAAAGTGACACATATTCATGCCATCCGCCCCCCCCCCCAATTTTAGAAGCTTGAATAAGTGAAAATATTTTATTCTATTTCTGTTGCCACCTATGTTAAATGACTTCATTATATTTTCAGCAGTGCGATATATTCTGCGCAGATTTGCTACACTCATTTGTTCGCACAGTCTTTTGCGCTCCTTTTTTTGTGCATAAAATTTGACATAATTGACTAAAGAAAGAACGTGTACATTTCGAAGTAGTTGTTACCGTTTATCCTATACACTAAAGTCATTAAAGATTGTTATTTGACCTCGTGAAAACTGCGCATAAAATTGTCCGTAGCGAAAAAGGACACACGGAGCGGTAGTGAAATATCTTTTTTATTATGTTTTTATCATAAATCAACAAAGCATCACATTCGAAAGAAGAAAAAAATTGAAGAAAAATTGGGAAATCGCAGAGTGATTCGCTCATGTCTGAACTGTCGCATACGCAATCAAGAAACCACTGTGGGAATTGCTGAAATCACTGCGGAAGTTTACAGCGACTTCGTTAGTGTCGCTGTAGAGTATTTTTGACCGCAAGCCCGTAAGAGTCCTGAAAAAAAAACATTTAAAAATGAGCATTACTTTATTTTGAAATATCATGGAAAATTTGCGGCGGGAAAAAACTTACAGAAGCGTGCTTCCGTTTTCGGAAACGATGACATAGTCGTAATTGGGCTCAAACTTAGCTCGAAGAACCCTCAGTGCGAATTTGGATCCAGCTGGACCCGACAAATTGAACACAATGTTTTCATTGTTTGGGTAAAATCCTGGATGATTCGGCGATGAAATGAAACCATAGGTTTTTGAGGCACCCGGTTGAACCTTGGCGTGTAACTCGTTCACGTCGCCAGAGGTCGTGATTTCTCCAGTTTCCGTGTTGATGTTGATCACTTCAGTGAAACTCGTTTCATAAATGCCAGGACCGCTTTTGTTCTCCGCCTCAATTTGTCCATCTGTGAAAAATAAAATATCCAAATTTAATTGAGTTCAAAACAAATTCCTCGGTAAAATGGCACCCTTCTATTTCCAAATAAAAATTCCGGAAACTAAACAGTTTCTAGTCTTAAGACCGTCATCACTTGTTTGACAAAACAAAATTTAATGCTGATGCTTTTGAATTTGTATGAGTGCCAAATTTCATGTGTGTACCTAGGATTTCTCAAGGTACTGTATGATACAAAGAGATTTTATCATTGGAAATCATCAAGAACTTTATAATAAAACTCATTTAAACTTAATGTCAAACCCTTGCAGGCTCTTCTGATGGGTGAAGACATGAAGAGAGAAAGGAAAAAAGCAAGGAAAAGAATAATGGTTGAGTGCTTCTATAGTAGGCTGCAATAAGTATGTCCAGTACTCCTTCCATTATTCCAAGAACCAGAGCAATTATAAAGAAGGTGATGCTCATGAACACCTCTTCTCTTGAAACCTGTCCTTCTGTTATTGTATAGTTATGACTTTCTATCTCTGCCTGTCCTTTTATCTCAAAACAGCTAGAAGAATGTTCTAGAACAGCGTTCCCCAACCTTTTTGGGCCTGCAGACCCGCAAATTTCCATAAAAATGTTTACAGACTGGCAAATTTCCCCAAAATTTTCTGCAAACCGGTAAATAAGTTTCATAAAACGTTTGCAGATGACTCAGAGGTTTCACTTGGAACCTGGAAGACTTTATACAGGCATTTAAAGAGTTCATGCTTTTTTCAAAAAAAATTATGAACCTATGCAAAACACATACTGTGAATAGTGGAATGCCTTCAAAAAGTTAGAAAGGTGGGCTGGAAAAGGTTTCTCAGGAAGAAATAATTTAAATATTTCATTTCAGCATAGGTGTAAATTTGTCTGAGTGTTATTAGGAGGAAACTCTGTTTCTTGTCCAGTCTCTGAGTTGTGTGTAATTGTAGTTAGGTACAAAAAGTGCAATAAAGACTATATTTTTGTCTAAGAAACAAAGATTTTCCAAGTTATTCCCTTTCACATTTCTCATCAGAGGAGATACATGAACTTTGAAGTTTTCAGACTGAAAATAAATAAGGATAACAGGGAAAGAGAAAAACATCTGGTCGATATTTTTAATTCGTTTGAGTTTGATTTGAATAAAAATTTTCTTGAAACCTCCAAACTCTCTGGGACCACTTTTATCTTCCTCCTCCATTTTCCAAATGCGCAACAGATTAATATCAGAATTTAATTAAGTCCACATACAATTCCTTGGTGAAATGGAACCCTTATTCATGCTTTCAAAAGAAAAAGTTGCATGAATAAGAAAAATGAAAATCTGTCTGTGAATCGGGTGTCATTTTCGACCCAGCAAAAAAAACACGCTTTTGGCTTGATTGCCTGTTTATGCATGCAAAATTTTATGGAAACTCAAGAGTTCACTTGGTCTGCTTATCGAAAATCTTGCAACACTGGTATTTTTCTGATGAAATTCACGGCGTTTGCAAAATATGTGAAATGTTAAATCACTCACGTAAAAAATCGTAAGGCAATTCAGCTGCATAAGCTGCCAAGTAACCTCTGTCTCCTCCAGCCTCGTCACTTTGCAGAAAAACCGTGGCATCGTTTGCTGCAGTAAGTTCTGGCAAGAACAGGTCAAACGTTCCCGTGTACCTTTCCAGAGATCGTAATTTATAATCAAATCAAACCATAAATTGATGATTTTTTCTTTGCCAAATGACAATACTCACTGGTCGAACCATTCTTGGGCGGGTTCGTTGTCACGGAGTTCAACTTGAACATAGTCTCCTGCAATGGTTCTTAGTTGTAGAAAACCTAGCCTCACAGAGTCAATTTCAGTGCCTCTGACAACTAGGTCATATCCACAGTCTCCAGGTGGCACAGAATTGGGATAATTATTTGGATACCCTGGACTGGATATGAACCCATGATCAGCTACTTCAGTCAACACGATTTCCTCTGAATTTGCAGACAACAGACCAGATGCAAATGATTAGATGATTCCACCTTCAGAATATTGTACAGTACAATGCAAATAATTTTTTTGACCCGTGGCGTGTCCATAAAAGTTACTTTGGGATTCCAAAATCAATTCTTCATTTAATGAAAAAAATTTTTGCATAATGTTATCTACAACATTTATTCAAAATTTTGGCAGGTTGAATCTTTTGAAGTATACCGCGTTCATTCACCATTTATTAGTAAATTGTGATATTATTATATAAGAAGTTGCTAAATTAAAACATATCACCGATCAGAGAAATATTGAACCCCCTTTGCATAAATTAGACATACACGATCTTTAAGAAACAAGTGTCACACACAATGCTAAGACTACTTGAACTAAGAAATTTGGTTAGTACTAAAACCAGAATTCCTTGGAGCAGGGAATTTCTGTGGAATTTCTCCCATTGCATAATTTTCATTTTGTTATCTCAGATTTTGCCCATTTTAAGTTATTTGCCAAGTTTGCTCTGAAGCATTTGGATCTTTGTGCTTGAATTTGTTGTGTGAAATTTGGACTTGCCAATTTTGTTTAGCAAAATAATACAAGTTTTCTTCTTCTTTCTGGAAGTCCTACTAAGAACTTCCCTGCCAAGTTACCTGGCAGATATTGTTTGTCTGATTCATTCAGTTCTTCTTGTCTGCAATTATCATGCTAATTTATTATTGTCTTTGTTTGGATCTTATCTCACACAGAATCTGCTCTCACCTTTGCCACCACAAACTTCTCTGCTCTCCGCATTTCTTGCGGGACTCTGAAAGAAATTACACAAAAAGAACTTCATTTAGAACTTTCACCGGTAGTTGACTTTAAAGGGACATCAAACGCAAACACAGAGAAAAGTCGATGTGTGAACTTCGTTATCTTCAGTTTTTTTCTCTATGTTTTCAACCGACTTATTTTTCAATCAGATTTCAACGCTTTGAAAAAAATTTCACTTACCTCGCTGGAAAAAGCAGTGGCAATAACAGCAGACCCCAAACAGAAGATAATTGCAAGGTATTTCATTATGAGGTAAAAAGCAATGGAATTGTATTCTCATATGCAACAGGAAAATACAGTATTAAAAAAAAATATTAGAAGACAACTGCGAAATAAATAAATGTCCTTAATCTTCTTTACTACTTTACTGCTATAGTAAGTTAACTTTCCTTCTTGTGAGCTCTGAATGATTACACCTTGAAAACAGAGTGCGTTTTATAAGTACTGTTGTGGGAAAAATGTAGCTGATACTTCGTTGATGAAGATAATTTGCCGGATTGTTGTTCAAAGCGTGACGGCGCATTTTTCTTGCCTTAAAATGGTGCAAACGTTTAAATGACACTGTGAAATTTGCCCTTTTGCGAGGAAAGAAAGGGTAGGTTTTATTTTTTTAATTTCAAAATTAAATTAAACAAATGTTTTGGTGCGCTACCACAAAATTTTTGAAGAAAAATTAACAATTCAATTTTTTTGCGATTCATGATTAATAATTCTTTGAGTGATAGTATTTGGATTTCATAGTTCGTCGTTTTTTAATGGCCGAAAGAACACGCATTAGAAGAAAAAATCTAGATGTAATCAGTAGTGAAAAAAATCGAGGAGAAAATCGAGATCCAGCTTCGGTCCATAATAAAAAAATATAATGTTAGAAGTTTGATCAAGATAAAAGATGAAGCTTTTAAATTTGACCTGATGTCCCCTTCCGATATTACATGGTTTTTCTCAAAAAATATTCAGGAACATATACATTGCGCCGGTTTTTAAAATAATAATTTGTTCGCAGTCTGTTGCAAATTATTTTGTTTTTATTCGATGCAAATCCAAGCATTAATGGCACATAACTGACTGAAAAAAGAACTCACACACTTTGAACCAGTTGGTCGTAGTATGACCCCTGTGAAACACGAAAAAAAAAATCCTAGACGGCAAAACTGAAAAAAGGGGAATTCCAGTAATTTGTGAGCCCAAACATGGATCTTCCGATATATTTCAAGCAGTTTAATTATGGGGGAACATTAGTTTGGTTCCTGATAAATTTTATGATATACATTATACAATATAGCCTAAAAATATTCAACCTTAAATTATCCCGAAAGAGCTATTACTCGCTTTCATGTTACTGAAAATTTGGCCCAACTCTGGAATAGATCAGGTGAACTTTTCAAAATTTTGCATGCTGGCATTTTCTGTAAGGCACAGATGCTGCTCAAGTATCAACCCATACAACCCCCAAAAAATCTCCAATTGGGAAATTCCACATTGGAAATTCGCCATTTTCGCCAGGAAAGAAAGCGAAGTTTTTTTTAAATTTCAAAATTAAATTATACAACATGTTGGGTGCGCTCCCGCGATTTTCAGTTGAAATTCCACATTAGAATTCCCTTGTTAGGCAACGGTACCCAACCAAAAGCCCCCCCTCCTGCCAAAAGCCCACCTAGGTTAAAAATCCCCCTGCCAACCCCCCCCCCCCCACTTTGGCAGGGGGCTTTTGGACTACAACCTTAGGCAACAACCAATTTTTGCTCTCCTACATCTTCTTGTTTGCAGTGTGCATTTGTTTCTTGTTGGTGTTTGATTTCCCTATAAGTTAAATTTTCAGTGTAATAATTGAATTCCTTTATCGAGAAAATACATTCTCTGTTCTTTTGGGATACTTACCAAAGTATCCCCTGTCAAGTTCCCCCACGGATTAAGTGTGTTTGTCTTATTTCTTTTTGATTTCGTATTCTTTTTGTGGGCTTTGCCCAACGTTTTTCAAACCTTACTCAGTAGTTTTGGCATTGGTTTTTTACTTATTTGTGTGCAGTCAGTTGTATCATCTGAATTGAATAAACATGGAACACATTTAAATGTGCGTTAAAATCACTTTTTACCTATGTTATGATGCTCATGTAGTCATTGAGAACTATAATTTGAATGAAGCCTCAGAAAATGCACTTTTTGGAAAACGCACTTGAAATAAGTATTTATTCCCTTGCGCAATTATCAACTTTTTTATTTATTCGCACATTCAAATTTCACATCAATGCTACAACGCATCCACACACACAAAAATTACAAATGAAATTAGTTGAAGAGCTGAGCAGATTAACTTCAGGCCAGAATATTTGCGTAAGCAATCAGGAAACCACTGTAAGTTTGGCTACTGTCGCTCCTGAAAGTCACTGTGACTTCGTTTGTGTTGCTGTAAATGATGTTCGCCCACAGTCCCCATATAGTCCTGAAAATTGTCAACACGAAACAAATAATTGTATTCATTTCACGAGATATGAAAAAAAATTATAAGTAAATGAACTCACACAAGTTCAAGCGTGGAACCGCTATCGGTGATAATGACCGAATCGTAGCCCTGCTCAATTTTCATTCTCATTACCCGGATTGCGATCTTTGATCCAGCTGGACCCGACAAGTTGAACACAATGTTTTGATTGTTGGGATACGGGCTTGGGTGGTTTGGCGATGAAATGAAACCGTGGGTTTTTGAGGCACCCGGTTGAACCTTGGTGTGCAACTGGTTCGCGTCGCCAGATGTCGTGATCTCTCCAGTTTCCGTGTTGATGTTGATCACTTCAACGTGGCTCGGTTCGTAAATGCCGGGTCCACTTTTGTCTTCCACCTGGATTTGTTCGTCTGATGAGGAAAATTGATGCTTTGAATTCGTGTCTAAGATGGCGCACGAGTTAGGAAAAGAATCACAGCAAAGATATGTAAAATATTCCGCTATCAGTATAGTGAAATGCAAGAACCACGTACAGCAGTGCTGCATTTCACAATTCAATTTCTAAGTTGAACTCATCTGTTGGATTGAGAAGCAAAATTGTTTGTGGTTAATGAGAAACCTATTTGTTGCAGAAATAAATTCATTCATCTACATTTAGAAGCAAGGCTTTTGAAGTCACTGTTTGCACCAAAAGCTTGTGCATCAGTGAGATAACGATCTGGCATGAAGGTTTTCCAGATGAGCATTCAGGAATTTTAAGAAAAATGGGCTTCCCATTCCCAGATTTTTACCAATTTTGGCCTCTCAACCAAAGCTGTGTTTTGGTGACCTTGGGTCGAACCAAAATGCACAAGCCCGCAAAAATATCCTAGCACTGCCGTGGGATGGAATTTGACCCGCCATCCAAGGGTTAAGGAGGCTTTGAGTTCCAGAAACAAGCATTTTTGTGGTGGGAAAGATAGAATGATAATTGCAGGATATTGTAAATGGTTATGTTCTTGACCTTAAATTCCATCTTACAGGAGTTGAAAGGATAGTAAACTTAGAGGCAAGGGTTTTTTTGCCCAATCAGTCTTTCACTTCCTTTCAAAACACATAAAGTTTTTTTCATTATGCTCTTCAGTTTCCTAGCCGATAGCCAAAAGGCTTCAGAAAACTTGAGTTCCACAGGCTAAAGAGGAAGAGCATGGCATCAGAGAGTTTATTTTACTGCATTTTTCCTGAGGGAATTACAAAACTGGCCCTTTGAAAAAAAAAATTTGTGGAGGTTTGAGCTCTTGAGGTTCAACTGTACATAAAATTATAGAGCATGTCTTTCTACTCCTAGAGATTGGACAAAGTGTTTTTCTTTGCCACATTCTACATGTATTTTGCCTGTGCTGTAAATTAAGTAAAAATGGCTTCACTGACCTTTACTGCTATGGGGCAATGCTGCAGCATAAGCTACCAAGTAACCGGTGTCTTCGCCTGTCGCATCGCTTTCTAGGAAAACCGTGGCTTCATTTGCAGCAAAAAGAGGTGGCAGGAACAAGTCATACGTTCCCGAATACCTTTCCAGAGATATACATTTCGTTGATTCCCAAACAGAATCGCCTTATTTATGCTAAAGTACCGCGCACGAAATTTTTTTTTCTCAAAATTGAGAAGGAAAAAGGAGGTGCACGCAAATGTTAAGATTTTCAGAAGTCAGAAGTGCGCATATCACACATAATTATAATGGGGATATTTTTTGAGAGAAACTTTTTAAAAATCAGAGCAGTTGAAAATTAATAGGATTTGGGTTGAATCCATGCTCAAATTTTATTTCTGGCGTTTTTCACTTTTGAAATACTGTATTGCAGTTTTTCTGGCACAAAAAAATGGGGCACGAGTCTTGAAAGTGTCAATTTTTTTTATAGAAGTTCAAGTGCGCATCATGCTTGAATATGCAGTATTCGAAAAATTTTGTGAGAAACTTTTGAAAAATAAAAACAATATAAAATGTATTGCATTCAGGTTTAATTTCTTATCAAATTTATTGCATTCTGGCGTTTTTAATTTTTGAAATACTGCATTATTGTAGTTTTCTTGGTCACGAAAAATGGGGCACTCGGGGATGGGATTTCATCAATATTTTATAGGGTGCAAAATTGGGATTTTTGCATCATCTTATACCCGAAGGCACGTGGTACTCCAGTACCTTTTTTTTTCTTTCAAGAAATGTACTCACTGTTCGAACCATTCTTGAGCTGGTTCAGTGTCACGGAGTTCAACTTGCACAAGGTCTCCTGCAATTGTTCTGAGTTGTAGAAACCCTAGCCTCACGGTGTCAATGCTAGAGCTGCTGACAACTAGGTCATATCCACAGTCTCTGGTTGGCACAGAGCTGGGGTATGTGTTTGGGAACCCTGGACTGGATATGAATCCGTGGTCAGAAGAATTGGTCAGCACAATCGTCTCTGAAGAAAGGGGGGAATTTAAACGAATATTGAAATCATCTAAATTTTTATCCAGTTCAATAATGGAATACGAGTGCTTTTTTCAATGCACTGATAAATATTTTTTTCGATTTACAAAATTTTCTCGCAGTACTATACAGTGTGGGAACGGTCAAATTATTTCGTGAATTTCGTCAGTTCAATGGAATTTTAATCGGGATTTGTACTGTTCAGAAATTTGTAAGAAATCGGATTTAGTATTTTTTTTTAAGGAATAATGGATATGCCCTCACCCATGCCGCCGCAAACTTCTCTGCTTTGTGCTGTTCTTGATGAACTCTGCAAAGAAATAAAATATATATGTGGAAGAAATTATTGGAGGAATTCCTTTGGAAAATTTCAGAAGCAAATCTCAACAGAAGACAATCTATAGAGTAGTTCTTCCTGTTAGTTAATCCAGTTTAATTTGAGATGCAAAAAGCTACATGCTGGAAGCCAAGAATTGGCTAGAGATACGCTACAAGATTCTTGAATTTTTTTAGGTGTTCAACACTTCGTTTTCTGCGTGTTTTCCTCTTATTTTATAAATGATAATAAAGAGAAGAAGTCTGGTTCAAGGTTTGCTCACCCCTGGATGCCGACCTTGAGGCAGCAGGGACCTGGTTTTGTTTCTGATTTTATTTATTTTATTGGGATACTTCCGTTTTTCCCAATGATTTGCCTTTATTGTTGAGTATAAAAAGGGCGAATATTTTTTTTACCCCAAACTCGGAACATTTCAAGCTATCGCATTGGAAGGTTCCCCCAAACTTTTGAAATCCTGGGAATTTTGGGGTTTTTATAAAGAAGTTGTGAGCAGAGTCTGGCATAATATTTCTTTGAACAGTTTGTTTTGTTTAAAGCCCACAGCTGAAAACAAACAAACTGAAGACCTTGTGCTTTAAATCGGGTTCAGTAACTGCTGCAATTGCTATAATTCTGGCTCATGCTGCAATTCTTGTTACTGATACATCATTTTCAATGTCAGGGAAAGAACACATACACATCAGTTGTGCAGTTGTATATTGTGGAATGAATCTTCTTTTATTTTGGTATCCATATACAGCTTTTTTCTCTGTTTCCCATTCTGAAGTGATTGAAGGTGTTTGAATGGATTTGGGTTGGATGGGGAGGGGGTTTGGATGTGGGAATGTTGATTGAACTTTGTGAATGCTGAAAAGCAGAAAATAAAGCTTTCTGTTCATTCATTCATTCAAGCCCACCAATAGCCTTCTGTGAAAAGTGCAGCATGAAAATTGAACCAAAATATATATTTTGGAAATCAGCAAAACATGGAAGATAATAAATACTCTGCTAAAATTACCACATAAATATAAATTTTAATGTCAGCCACTCATTGAACTGGACAATAAAAGGTTCAGTTTTTGAAAGACTTCTTTTGTCCGATTCATCCTCTCAAAAAATCTCCACTCACCTTATTTCCGGGAAACGCCACCACGGAAGCAATTCCAAAACATAACATAATCGAAAGGTACTTCATTTTTGGTTTCAAATTACTCAAATTTTATATTAGATATAAAGAAAAGACTGTTGAACCGAGAGTTTCTTCGAAGCTTTATTTTTTGTCAGTCCGGTCGCTTTTTGTACTGGTTTTGAACTCGAATGATTAGAACTGACGAAAAACAGGAGTGAGTTTTATATGTTGTGTGAAAAGTTTGCTGATAATTAGTGATAATTCGCCGAATCGTTCCTTCTAGGATGATGATGCATTTTCCGTCCCTCAATTTGCTGAGCAAAACTCCTGATGTGACGAGGCCAATTTCGACGTTTTTGCGAGCAAAATAAATTTAGTTTATTGCCTTTTGCGAGTATTTCAAGCTCATGTATCGAGATTTGCATGAAAATGTTGAGTCTTGTGTTCTTGTCATTCATTATTTTATAGTTCCTGAAAGAACGTATTGACTCCGAAGTACTGTTACGGATGAAAAATATTTTGATAATCCCCTTCTCAAAATGCAAAACGTAAAGATCATTTTTCATGTGTTCTGAAAAATCTTTTAAATAAAATCCGCGCGATTTTTCTTTTAAAAAATGAGTTAATATTTTCAAGTCAACCTTTGAATATCTGCCAATGAAAAATAAGGTGATTTCGACTATTATTGCGCATGCAATGCTGACCCCCGTTTTTTCGCAAACGTCATTTTGCAAAACACCGTTATAACATTATTCAGCAAATTTTTGATGTAACAAGCATTTGTTCCCCCATTGAAATATTCTCATGCTGAGATGCTCGTCCCTGGAGGCATTATATTCAATGCCAAGTTTTTCCAATTATTTCCCTTTGGGTTTTAAGCTTACAATGTCGTTGGAAAATGTCCGAAATTATCTTTTTCATTGAAATTTTCTCGAGTTTTCTCATTTTTATTTGCGAAGACTTTCAGGAATTGAGCAAGCAGAAGGTAAATCATAAACATTTTCAAGATCTGATTGGATTCATGTTGAATTCTCAAGCATGTGTGTGATGTGATGGGTTGATCAGGCTACATTTAACGGATATTTTTAAATAAACCTCGCGTTTATCTGGATACGATTAAAATTTGCGAATACTCTCGATAAAATATGCTCAATTCGTCGCTCAACATTTGTGAATTTGAATTTTTTTATGCTGAAACTATTCAGTAGATAATTGCAACACATTCGCTATATAGGTTGTGATTTCAGAAAATAAATTGTTTCTACACTTCTGTGAGATGAATTAGGTAGCAAATCATTTAAATGCTGCGAAACCTTAAAAAGGCGAATCTCAAGTGATTTAAAGAAACATACTTTTCACGAAATTTTATCGCGTCTGTATCCTGGGTTTCAAAATAAATATGAATGTCCAGGTATTGATTTTCCATAGATATTATGTTGATAATAGAAAAACCTAATAAAAATGTCAGGGCATCGATTAAAAGATAAATTCGACGAGCAGTCGCTTTTCAATTAATTATCAAGCTAATTTAATTTGGCTATATTTCGGAAAACGTGTGCGAAATGTTAATATTGGTTGCATGCGACTGACATCTAGGCTCCAGATGAAAAAAATTACTCATTCTATATCTCTTCGTGAAAGAGGTGTCCCTGACTATGCTCGCGTTTCTCGATCATGATTCGTGATGAGAAAGTTTTTTGTCTGAAAATTCAATAGAAATGACGTAAATTCCGAACATATTATGCTCATCCAGCTGGATTTAAAAACCTTATTTTCTCTCCAACAAAAGAAAAATCACACGAGGAAAAATAAACAAGTGATTTTGAAAGGAAAACTTCGACTTTGAAGATTTGGAGGAGAAACAGCAATTTATATTAACTCAAGGAGAAAATCTGTGTTTTCATAATAAACAATTGTATGGGCCAAGAAGAAAGCAGGTGATTTCTTCCTGCTTTTGAAAAGAATCTGATGCACATGTCAACCGTTGTCAAACACGTTCTTCATTTCGATATAACCCGATGAAAAACGAGAATAAAGGCTCGTCATCACGCCTGAATTGTTGCATATGCGATCAAAAATCCACTGAAAGTAATTGTATTGTCGCTTCTAAAAATCAGCATGACTTCGTTGCCTGGGCTATAGATGACATCATTCCTCAGCGACCTGATTTCACTATAAACACACAAATTCAATCATCAACAACATCATTCCGACTGCATTAAATTTAAAATTTAAATGGACTCACTCAATCGGGGTCCCGTTATTATAAATGGTAAGGTAGTCGTACTGGGGTTCGAATTCTGCTCGCAACACCCTGAGGGCGAATCTGGATCCCACGGGACCCGACAAGTTGTACACGATTCTTTGAGCATTGGGGTAATTGTTTGGATGATTTGGCGAGGAAAGGAAACCATACGTTTCTGAGGCAATTGGTTGAACCTTGGTGTGCAACTGGTTCACATCCCCAGTGGTCGTGATTTCTCCTGTTGCCGTGTTGATGTTGATGACTTCAACGGAACTAGGTTCGTAAATTCCGGGACCGTTTTTGTCTTCCACTTCCATTTGGGCTTCTGTAAAAAGAAGTTCCGCTTGAATTAAATTTCACGAGCTTTAAAAATAATAGTGCCACAAGAGTCTCGAAATGATTTCTGAATTGAACTTTTTGGAAAGTCCGGGATGAATTTAATTGAATTTATCAGCGACTTCTTTCAGCCATCACAAAAGTGGAAAAGATAATTCAGAAAAATAAATAATGCGTCTCAAATTGTATCGTGATTCAATTTACAAGATTTTTGATTAATTCAAAAGTTCATTTCGTGAATGCTTCTGAAAAACACAAGCACAGAATAAGGAACTGTTTTCAATTAATGCGCTGAGGAAGAGAGTTTCGATCCAAATTCTTGTCTTCTATAAAAGTTGGAGAAAAAATTCATAGGATTAAAATGAGTCTAAATACTTGACTACGATTAGATTCACTGTATTATCAATAAGATCATAGGTAAAGTTCATGTCTGCGTCTGATGAACACAAATTTTACAAGGGTTTTCGGTTCATGTGGGGCACGAGAACTTGAATCCGATTTTTTTGAATTTTTGAAAAACTCAAGCTGTTATAATCGACATTGACATGGTGAGATTCGATAAGCAATGTCTTCCAATTCTTGAGGTATTTATTTGAATGAAAGTCGGTCTTATACTCGATGTAAAGATTATTTTCATACACTTATTATTTTTTTCATCAGGCACAAAAAACGTACTCTTGAGATTTTGTAAATTAAAGACGCTAATTTCATAACAGTGAAATTTTTGTTAAATGCTGTATTTTATAGTTCTTTTAATGCGGGAAAAATTGTACACGGTGGCGCATATTGGAATGGTGGAACAAAATTGAGTATTGACTGTATTTCGTGGTGAATATTTGTTATATTTGCACCCAGCACTTACCTTTCCCATTATTTGGCAATTCAGAAGCATAAGCAGCCAAATAACCAATATCTGCTCCTGTGGCGTCACTCTGCAGAAAAACTGTGGCTTCATTCGCAGCAAAAAGCGGCGGCACGAACAAGTCGTATGTTCCTGTGAACCTTTTTTCAAAGTCCATCATTTAAAATATTTTAAAAATCTACTATTTTATGCATTCAATCATTTTTTCCAGGAGGAACAATAATACTTACTGTTCGAACCATTCCAAGTTCGGATTTGTTTCGCGGAGTTCGAGTTGCACGTAGTCTTCATTCATGGTGCGTAGGTGTAGAAACCCTAGCCTCACAGTGTCAATGGTACCACTGTCGACCAAAAGGTCTTGTCCGCAGTCTCTGGGTACCACGGAGTTGGGGTAATTGCTTGGGTACCCTGGACTTGAGATGAAACCATGGTCCTGAATGTCAGTCAACACGATTTGCTCTGAATAATGTTGGGAAAGAAATTTTAAAAATTTAATTAGACGTAACCAGGTTCTAGGGAAAGACTGTTCAACCTTTGGTAGTTTTTTATTACAGGTGGTACCTCGAAATTCAACCTCCCGCAATTTGACGGTCAAATTTGCTTGGAGGTCAACTCGTATAATTCGACCTCTTTCCCGAAATTAGACCTGTTTTAGCCTCTTTTCGAGTGTTTTTGTGCTGTTTGCCCTTGATTTTATAGAGTGTCTTGAAATTTGCCCATTTTGCAAATTGATCTTATTTTAGCAATGGATTAGGGCCAAATTGCAAGGTACCACCTATAGTCTTATGCAGAGGATTAGAGAGAGAGAATATTTAATCCAAGAATATTATTAAGGATAATTTTTGAAAATGTTTGAAAATAGCCTTTTTGGTAAGAAGTCAAACATTCCATTTAGAAAACTCTTAATAAAGATGTTTTCTTTCTTGAAAATTATGAAACAAATAGTACATACACTACAATAAAAATAAGGCCTTAATTATTTTTAAGGCTGATTTAAGGTTCTGCTGGAGGTAATAAAAACATGTCATGTTCTTAAAGTGAATATACTGTACCTTAAATTTCCCACATTTTAAAACTGAATCCAAAAATAAATCTAGCTCCGGAAAAGGACAAATTTGCATGATGAGCAAATTCAACAATGAAGTTTGGTTGCCACCGAATTTTGCTCCAGTTAGCGGACTTTGTTTCGTGAAATAGACAGCACATAAAGTGATGGTGCAACAAATCGGTTAATTGAAAAAATGTGGCTTCTGACATCATATTAGGAGTGTGTTTCAAAATATTTTATAATGTATAAATTCCTGTTGAGCATTGTTTTCCTTTTCTTTTCGCGTTTGCGATTCTATTTTTATTTTACGCTCAACAAATATTCATAAACGAATTCTGTTTTGGATTCATCGCCGAGGGAATTTCGAAAGGATTTGGAATTCCATACAGAAGATGCATTTTTTCGTGAAGGAAAATTGTAATTGAATAACACGAGTCCATAACTCAAAGATAATATTTTGTTCCTAGGGTATGATAGTTAACTTTATCTTACCTAAGCCCCCGCAAACGTCTCTGTCTTCTGCTTTGATCTGAGATATTTGCGATGACAAACTCTGTCAAAAATGACATCATTAATTCAAATCAATAGAATATACGTTTAAAAATGCTTCAGAAACAAGCTGACTCACATTCTCGGCAAAAGCCGCGAGAGCAGAAAGTTCAGCACAAAGAAGAATCACCAGCACTTTCATCATCCTTTCGAATATTGATGTCATATTTCAAGCAGGCAATGTGAACAAAACTACTTCATTCACTTTAATTGAAAACCTTTTTGTGCTGAAGGTCGGGTGGTTTTTATAGGGAAAACCCCGAGCGATTTGGATAATTCAACCTGTAGTTCCTGGTGCTTTTCTTTCCCTTATTGGGGACAATTTTTCACAATAGGATGCATTTTTCACTGACTCACTATTCAAAATATGACACTGCATAATTCATGCTTATTTTTCTGGTGCTATATGTCCACGGGAATATATCAAAATTGTTAGTGTACGATATCTACTTCAGATGTCTTTATCGCTGCGTAATTTTGCGCCGTTTACTCTCCTTATCTTTTTTTTCGACGCCCGTGAAATAATTATTTTTGAAAATTTCAAATTAAGATATTACATCAAGTTTCAAGAATATGTTAATCTTTATTTCGATGCATCACAGAATTGCCCTTGAGAATCTGTGGCTCGCAGGATTCATTAGTTTTCGAAGTTCAGATGCACCAAATTAGAGTCAATTCTTGATGAATGTCATTCACAAAAACTTAGCTCAACACCACGAAACGAAAATCTGCGTAATCATGCATTTTACCAAAGCGAATTTATTGTCCAGTCCACCTCTGAGCAAATTTCCAACAAAGGGATTCAGCTATCGTAATTTGTATGCATTTCTCCCCAATGGTCAATCCAGAATGAGGAAAATGACTCAACTTTTACAAACGGCCATCCAAAAATCCAAACAAGCACAGTATTCTAAACAATCTGCCGCCAGACAAGAAATTTTGAAAACTGATAAATATCAAGTCGAAAAATTTGAACACCATTTGTTGCGGGTCGACTAGATGTCGCCCCCGTCAAAAGATTTTGTGAATGTGTCTCTTTCGACTCTTGAAAAAAAAGCAGATGTTGTGAAGTGGTCTATAAAAAAGGTGAAATTACATCAAGATTTTGATTTTTTTACATTGATGGATGAGAAATGAATCCAGAGAAAAAACATGATTTATTGCCTTTTTGGAAGTATCGTTCATGGAAATTACCTTCCCATAAAATTTCATCACATCAATGCGTTCAAAAAAAAATCAGAAACCACCATCTAATTTTATCTTATCTCACTTTTTTCTAGGAAGTACATCCTCGCGTTTTTTTCACTAGGAAATATTCTAGTGATGAATATACCACATTCAAAAATTCAACGTAATGAAAAAATGGATGTCAGGAATTCCTTTTCATCAAGGATAAATTGCAGTGTATGCCACCAGGAATCCTGTACGAGTAGTGGTACCAATGGAGTGCAGTCTCAGGAGAATCTCACTTCCACTTGAGTAGATAATTGTCGGTTCAAGGTATTGAATAAATCTCCTGATAAAAAAAGGAAGTTTGTAAATCAATACTCAATTTGAAACGTGTCCTGTACCACAAACCGAATTAATTATATTGAAAAGATCTCCGCGGGCTGTTTTTCAAAATAAATACACTACCATACTTTTCATCCCTTATATAGATAGAATATTATATGAAGAATGTGAACGCAATTTTCTGAAATTCCAGAAAATGACCTCGGAAGTGAATTTTCACAAACCAAGGCTGAAAATATCTCCAACACTGCCCGAAGATATCGAAAATTTCTTGGAGGTTCAGCTAAAAATTGAACGCAATTCACTAATGGTGAATCCTAAAATTATTCGAAAATGGAAAAAGGCAGACTCACATCGGCAGGTCGGAATCATGGATGGAAACATAATCACAGCAGACTTCAAAGTCTGCTCTGAGAAACCGCAGGGCAATTCTGGCACCGTGAGGTACCACAAGTTGGTAGTCGAGAAGGACATTGATGGGATATTGCAGAGGATGAAATGGAGACATAATGACACCAAATTGTTTCCCTGGCACATGTTGCACCGTTTGCTTGACCATGTCATCGGGGTTCTTGGAATCCGTCCACACTTCACCTGTCGCCACGTTGACCCTAATGACCTGTTTTTTCAAGTCAGCGTTTTCTGGTTTCTCCTTTGGTGCATCAACCTGACCTGCAATAAAGGAAGACTTGATGTTTTGGAGTTGTTGTGAGAAAAAGAGATTGAGTGCAATAGAGAATCTCACAAAGTTGATGAACGAAAGAAGTTGGGAACTTTGGAACAACTGATTGGATGAAAAGAAAATCAAAATGAAGAAGTGATATGAAAGAACTGGGACCTGATTAGAAATAATTATAGTAGATTAAAAAATTAATCAATCCGGACAAACAAACAGACAAGAAAGTGAGTTCATAAAAACGTGGTAAAATGGATTTGAATGATGAACTGAAACACGGTTAGTCAGCCGGGCTGCGGCCGGGACAAGTTGTCCTAGTATGAAGATGTATATTTGTCAGATGTGAACACTGGTAAAGGTTTTGAGATAATGCGTACAAAGGTTCTCTGCACAGAGATCCGCTCGGGTCAGCAATTCAAATGCGAGTGTCAAATCATCCAAAATTTGGAAATCAGGAAAGGAAGAGTTGAAGGATGTGGATTAGAAATCTATTCAGAAATGTCCTTGCTGGGCCAGGGAACCAAACTCAGGTTTGGTTCTCAGGCTCCAGCAGAAGCTGCTAAATTTTCTCAAGATTTACAAAACAGAAGAGTAATTTAACTTGATCTGGCGCCAACTTGTTGGCATACCAAAGTTTTTTCATACAGTTGTTACAGCAGGGCTTGTATTTCTGTGGTACCACTTTGTGTTATTGTTGGCTTACAAGTTTTAACCAACTATGATGAGCAATTAGGGAAAAATTATTCTCTTGCATCAGTGGCCTCTGCAGTCCAATGTTTTCAACATTTTTGGACCTGCTCACTGGCAAATTTCCATAAATCTTTTTGCAGACCAGCATATTAAAACAAAATATTCTGCAGACTGGCAATTGCAGATTCATAAAATTCTTGAAGACTTTTGAAGTTTTGTTTGAAAGACTTTATGACAGGTATTCAAAAATGTTCTTTTTTTTCAAAAATTAGGTTAAAAACAAATGAAGCAGTTTCACTGGAATGTCTTCAAAAATTAGAAAGCCCGGCTCAAAGAATGGTTTCTCAGAATGAAAGATTAATATACTGTAGTTTATTTCAGCTGGTGAAAATTTTTCTGGAGTGTCATCAGGAGAAAAGCACATTTTTAATTTTTATCAGATAATTTCCACTGCTATGGTCTCTTCAAAATTTCAGACAAAAAGATATCAGACTTCCTTGCTACTTTTGATTAATTTAGTTGCTAGAAAAAATTTCCCACAGATAAAAAAAACAATCGTTGCGAATTGACAGGAACACTGCTCTAGTTTTTTCTCTTTAATTAAATTATTTTTCTATAATCTGATTCCGACCATCGTGGCCAAAATGAGTATACCAGCTGCTCGAGTGGTTCACTTCAAATTTATTTTTAAAAGGGAATACTTACAGTTTGTACTCACTTTGTGTGGTGTTGGGAACAAGTTTTCCAGCGTAAGCAGCCAAAAATCCAGTATTTGAATCAGAGACATCACTTTGTAAATAAACCAAAGTCTCGTTGGCAATAATCAGTTCTGGCAGAAACAGGTCAAATGAACCAGTAAACCTGGATAATGTATATAAAAGAACCCCAATTTTATGGAATTGACAAAACATCGAAACGAACAAGAGACTCACTGGTCTGTGCTTTCTGAAGGAGGATTATAATGAGTTTCTTTGACACTCAGGTAATCCCCGTCGTTTAACCTCACTTGAAGGAATCCCAGTACAACGGAATCGATTTCATTATTTGCCACAGTTATTTGTGAGCCGCAGTCCTGGTGTGAAAATATGGAATCTGGGTAATTTCCTGGGTATCCAGGGCTCGAAATGAATCCATAATCACTTGTTGAGTCCAACTCGATCAGGTCTAGAAAATATTAAAAAATAGATTGACTGTTGAAAGATTTTGCACTTGATATGATTGTCAACTCACCAGTCCCTCCGCAAATGAGCTTTGGCTGAGGACTGCTTGCTTCCGAAGTGTCGACATTTTTCTATTTCAAGACAGGGGATTTTGAAAGTTTTCGTTTTAAATATTTCAAAAGGAATTGCAAGAAATAACTTACAAGAAATGGCGTTGCGAGAGATGCCGAGAAAAAGCTAGCAGTTAAAAGCACTTGCCACAACATTCTGGCACTGCAGACCAAGTTTGATCGAGGTTCTGAAACTTTACTGAAAGTTTAAAAAAATGAAATGCATTTCAATCGCATGCGAAAGAAAACACGAATTTAAATTCTTTACAAGGATACGAGTATATATATATATTTTTGGCATGTGATTCCCATTTATATGATGTTACCCCTCGGTTGACTCGTTACTTCTGAGTTTTGAGCCTCGCTATTTGGCAGATAATGGTCTTAAATACCTCTTTATCTCATGATTACAGTATCTATGAATTGTAATGGTGCAGAAAAACTCCGTGGTCTGAATCAGCAGAATTTGACGATGCAATAGTTATCAGCATTTGCTTTGCGATCGATTCTTCCCAAGAGAAATGTTCAATGAATTTTTGTCTACGAGTCTTTTGCCAATTTCGAAACACTTTCAATGCTTTGATCGAAGTTCATCAATCATTTCCAAGAAATAAGTAGTTCATTGAATACAGTACTGTATATGTCCAATAGAAATATGTACTATATGTATCAGAACAATTTAAATACATTTTCAGTCTTATGAATAAAAAATGCGTGAATAAACGATTGTTTCACCAGCAAAATGTGGTAACAAAAACACGCCGTCAAAAATGTCCAATATGTTTTAAAATATTTAGTTAATATTCAATAAAACTGACTTTCATCTGAGTACCTCGTGGAAACGAATTTCTTCTTTCGAATACAGTTTCAGTGTTATTTTAGCTAAGGATTTAGACTATTTAGCAAAAGATTCGGTACGTTTCTTTGTGAAAATTTTAATGTCTGAACATTAGTACAAATTCTGAATTAATTATTTACTCTTATTCTTCCCATGTTCATGATTTATCAGCAAGCATGCACTATTACGTGGAATTCCTCAGAGATATAATTATATACCGTAACTTATGTGTATATTTTTAATTCGATCAATTTTATTTCAGAAGTAGATGACTGATGACAAGGAATGGCTTTTGATAATTGATTCCGGATTTACTTGTTTGTAAACGTGACACCTTAAAAACATTTATTCCGCGAATTCCACGCATTTTGTCCTTTCTGTACAATTCATACGTTTCTTTCAATTTTCTTTTTGAAAAATGCATTAATTCATTTTGCTGCTGTATAGATATGCTGGTCAAGAAATTAAAAAGAACGATGGAACCCTTTCTTATCAGTTTGAGCAGGAAAGCTTTTGAGAATTGATGACAATATTCCTGTGGTACGCTCACAAGAATTTCAAGAATTCTCCAATCAAAAAGTCTTTATATCCGAATTATCCACTTCACTACCGTCCACCAGGGAAGTTGCGCATGTAGATTGTGCAACTTCTTCGAAATGAAGATAAATGATCTCCATTTCGACAATTTTTGTGAACTGAATTCTTTCCAATCCACGGAACACATTTTCACACGACATTTCAGAACAAACAGCGGGAAAAATTGCGACAATGCTCAGATAATGTGTAATATCGCAGTTTTATTCGTCATCAAAAATACTGTTCATATAATAGTGTATATACTGAAGAAAATTTGCACCTTTTTTAACCTCTTCGGGGTGAACAACCTTGCTGCACATAATTCAGACAAAATCCAACATTCCCGGTACTGTCAATTTCGGATCCATCAGTGTAGTAAAACAGGATGAACGGTTTTCTTGAACCTGGCCGAATAAACGCCGCAATCATCAGTTTCGAGAAAGAAGCGACATCTAGAAAATCTTACTATAAACTGAAGCTGCTCTGTCCAGGCCCCCTATCGGGTTCAAGGCGGTGCCACAAAACCTGTCCGGACAATAGATCGCCTGGTCAGTTGTCTGAGTGGTGAATCCTGCTTGGTCAGTACCGCATGGAATAGACAGCCAGTCCTTGTCTCCAGTGACCGTGCAGAAATTTGACACCTCTGAGACTGGCGGAAATTGCTGATTTCCACCAGTGACAGTTGCAGCAAGCCCGGTGATGGTGAAACTTTTTGATGGATTATTTGCTGTTGGAATAAGAAAAGAGCGGTGAAAGAGAGTCATTTGGAAGAACTGTAAAATGATACTCCAGCTAAAAAGTGCCCTGAATGATTGAATATTAAAACTATGGGCACTCACAGCAAAACACATGAATTCTGTCATCAGCTATAGATATGGCAAAATATTCTAAAATTTTGAATACATACAAAAGAGAGGAAATGAATCATTCAGCCCCAAAAATTCTTATTCTGTGAAAAAACAAGACATCTAAACTTCAGTACTTGGCTTCACTTTCCAGATGAGGGTCTTTCTTATACTACTGCATAATTATCACCAGACTTACAACATGATTCCCAATGGCAAACATACAGCTTATTTTGTGGACATATATAAAAAAGACTGTAAGGTAAGGGACTTATGCAGGAAGCACAGGGTTTATCAAGATGTGAAACTGTTGCAGTTGGCTCAGGCAAATTGTATGTAGGTTTTCTGCTTATATGAAACCTAGGTACCAAGGAAAGTTGAGTTAAGCAGAAAATTAGCAACCATTTGCTAATAATAAAAAACTGATATGCCTGTTAAAATTCAAAATGTTATACATCAAAAATATTGAATTAAGTGTATGTGCATTGGAGTGAATCAAGTTTACAGGTTGAGGCACAACTGTACATTTTTAGGTGGTAGCTTGCAATTTGACCCCATGCAATTTGACCATCCTGCAGTTTGATATGGTCAAATTTTCTGGGAGGTAGACTTGCATTCAACCTTTGCCTCATAATTTGTCCTCCTTCAGCCACTTTCATAGTGTTTTTTTGTTGTTACTGCACCATTTATTAATTTTACACAATGTCTTGCAAATTGACCCCTCTGGCAACCAATTAGGGTTGTATTGTGGGGTACAATCTGATTTATTCGAATAAATGGGACTTTAGTTCACCTCTGTCAATGCACTGAGAATATCTGATCCCACATAATCCTTGTTCAGTCCTGATGCAAATTGAATAAACCTGGTTTGCCAGTTGTGCCCCTTTGGCATTTGCGTAATTGAAGCTTTGAAGGGTCCCAGTCACTCCTGTGTAGTACTGCAAGCATCCCACAGGTGCTGTATATTCAAAATAAGCAGTTGAGCATCAGTATATATACATGAGTCCCCAAAAAATGAGGATGATTTTGATGTACCTTTGCTCAAATCATTACACTTGATCTGAGTGATCTTAATTTTCCAGATCCTGCTGCCAACTTTCCCAAATCCATTGGTCACCACATTCAGAACTGCAGCTTCATAGTCTGATCCAACTTCAATATACACTGTGGGATATAATGCATTTTCGTATTTCACATCAAAATTCTTGAATTCAAAATTAAGTTAAACTTACTGTGCTGTCCATGATTTGTGCCACATATGACTGGAGAGGAACTTCCTGTCCCAGCTGTCACAACAAACTGATCATTCAAACATTGACCAGTGTTTTCTACAGCAGTGCTTGGAGCAGCTAATTCAAAACTCAGGAAATCCAGCCTGTACATTCAATTATACCAAGTAAATTACTGCAATGCTAATGCTTTGAAATATTCACAGTGCATGTATACAATACTCTACAGTGTGAAATATATTACAAATCCAGCTACAGAACTGATGTGAGTTTTCAGATGTACAGTGGCCCCCACCTAACAGACCTCCCGTGTAAGGGATTTTTGCCAAACAGACC